AAACTCCTAGAACTGGATAACCAAATGTCTGAATTCATTTTATGATATGTAAGTTAAATATATTTAAAGAAGAGGGTGCCTGGGGCGCCTGGGTGGCTCAGATGGTTAAGCATCTGCCTTCGGCTCAGGTCATGATCCCAGGGTACTAGGATCGAGTCCTGCATTGGGCTCCCTGCTCCTTGGGAGCCTGCTTCTCCCTCTGCCTCTCTCTCTCTCTCTCTCTGTCTCTCTCTGTCTCTCATGAATAAATAAATAAGATCTTTAAAAAAAAATAAAAAAAAATAAAGAAGAGGGCACCTGGGTGGCTCAGTTGGTTAAGCGACTGCCTTCGGCTCAGGTCATGATCCTGGAGTCCCGGGATCGAGTCCCGCATCAGGCTCCCTGCTTGGCAGGGAGTCTGCTTCTCCCTCTGACCCTCCCCCCTCTCATGTGCTCTCTCTCTCTCATTCTTTCTCTCAAATAAATAAATAAAATCTTAAAATATATATATATTTAAAGAAGAAATAGTAACTTTTTAAAGTTGAAGAAATTCTGATGGTGAGGAAGCTGCCACATAGAGTACTAAGTGGTATTATCTTTAAAGAGAAAGCATAACTTTATTGTTTTGCTGTATATATTTCTCTTTACTACAAAAATGTGAACAACTTTATAAAAGTGCAAACGGTATAGGTATAGGTATCCTTATGGTATCTGAACATTTGGTAAGTTGGACAATTCAACTAAATTCTTTTTCTAATATTAGAGAACTCCTTTAGATTTTTCCCACACCTTCAAACAGTATCATTCTAACTACTGCCCTTTTCCAAGAAAATTCATGCACATTCATTGAAAGAAGGATCTTTTTAGACTTTACGAAAGTAGCATGTATGAAAGAAAAGTCTAGCTTTGTGACTGTGAATAAATATGTTTACTCACTGATTTTTCAACAAATTGCTTATTATAATTTTTTATAAAAATTGCATGCTATGGCTCATAATCAGAATATTGTGAATATTCTCTGAATATTCTTAGATTGGTTTGCCAGGATGTTGCCTCCATCTCATTTATGAAGGCCCCAAATACACAAATCATACTTTAATGAGAACCTGAATGGTGCATACATATTATCCAGTTAAATAACTAAGGACCTAGTTAGTTACCTTTTTTGTCTTATTAACTTTTAGCTACCTTTTAGGATCTAATAACTGTTCCTTGAAATTCATTACTAATTTAAGAAAATTGACAAGGAAATTGTCTAAAGCCCCTGGAGTCAAAAGTGGATGTCAATTATAACTTTTACTGCAATGGCCTTGAGACTTGGACTTCATTCTGCACCATCTGAGAGAGAGTCTGGCCAATTTTACACAGCTTGCTTGTACAAGATAAGATTTGAAGGAAATGTGTCTTCATTGGCATAGAGACCTTAAAATGGTTAGCAACGCTTCATCCTGATGAACACGTATCATGGAGGGAGGATTTTAAAATCCCCAAAATAATTTTCTGCAGCTAGATTGTGGTGTGATATAACAATGAGAAAGAAAGAGGGTGGGGATGTAGAGAAAATGCATATGAATATAAATATAGATAATTGACATCATTAAATAGTTTTGAGCTCTGAGACTGAATGCACTAAAATACAAAGAGGTGCCCAGGAGATTAATTGATTGTTGACTCATACTCCCATCTACTGTTTTTATGGTTACAAATTCTAGTTTGGAGGATGAAGGTAGTATAATGGTTGACATTAGTGAAAGATATTTCATACCAATTGACACAAGCTACATTTTTAATACATGTAATTTATACTTGACTATCTTGCTATTTTTGTTTATAGTACTTTTGTGAGTTTTTTGTCTTGTATAAATAGTGAAAAATTAGAGATAATATACAACATTTAGTTGAACTATGGCCACTACTTAATTATTTAGCTCCAGGGGGCAGAAGATCTGCAGCTATTATGTGAATCTACAAAAATCACAGTTTTAATTGTTTCATGTTAATTGTTATTGTACAATCTTAGCTTCGTTTATTACCCACACTCCCTTAATTGCCTATGCAGTTTTATTTTCGGTGGATCTTTCATTCGAGAGGCTTTGCATATTCATCATTGATAAGCTCCCATTATAAGAAATCAGCTTATGGATGTTGTTCATAAATTGTTTTATAACCAGTTGCTTCAATTTTATTCCAGATAAAAGTATAAACAATTTACACACTATCTATGGTATTTTCAAGTATTCTGTTGAATTGCTCTTAGGTCGTGTATTTATTCAGTCCTTAGACAAGTATATATTGAGCACCTATGTTGTGCCAAGATGTGTTTCAGACAATGGGGAGATAGCATAAAAAAACAAACAGCAATCCCTGTGTTAAGAGAGAAAGATGCTAAACAAATAAAAACAAAATTTTATGTCAAGTGGTGACATGTGCTATGGAGAACAATAAACCAGAAAGCTGAGATAAGAAGTGCCCCAGGTGAAGGTAAGATGAAGTTTTAAATAGATGAAGTTTTTTTTTTGCTCATAAACATATTTATGAGCAAAAAAAAAAAAAAATCCCCAAGGAGTTGAGAGAGAAAACCATGCGTATTTTGGAAGGAACCGTAAATGCAAAGGTCCTAAGGCAAGAGTCTTCCTGGTTTGTATGAGGAAGATCATGGTAAGGGCTTCTGCATTTATTCTGTGAAGGACAGAAACCCGTGTAGCAATTTTGAGCAGAGGAGACGTGATCTGCTTCACATATTTAAAAGTCAGAAGGGGGCACAGGCAGCAACAAGGGGGCAAAATAAGAAGTTATTAGTGTAATCCAGAAAGACTGATATTCCCTTGAGTCAGAATTGGTAGTAGTGGTAGAGGTGGTAGGACATAGTGAGATTCTGGATGTTGTTTTATAGGTAAAGGAAAGATGTGCTGATGGATGGCATGATGGGTGAGAGCCCGAGATGGGTCATGGATCCAGATTTCTTCCTGAAGTAGGATGGATGGCATTCTTATGAGCTGAGATGGGAAGAAAAGCGGACAAAGTCTGGGCAGACAGAATCAGACATTTAGTTTTAGACCCATTTCTGTCAAGATGCATGTTAGCTCTCCAAATGAAAAGGCCAAGACAGCAACAGGATATGTATATTGGAGTCCAGTGAAGCTGGGCCTGAAATATAATTTTATGGGTCATTGGCATTTAGGAAGTGTTTTAAGCGCACAAGATGAGGTGATATTCACAAGATTGTGGATGTAGAGAAGAGAAGAGATCCAAGAACTGAGCTCTGGGGCATTTTCATGTTACTTTGTGTAATGTGGAGGAAATGAGGGAAAACCAGCAGAAGCGACTGAGGATGAACAGCTAGTAATTTAAGAGGAAAACCAGGAGAGAATCATGTATCAGAACCTAGCGAAGAAAAGGTTTCAAGAAAAAGGGAATGATCAACTATGACCAATATTACTGACATGTCAGGTGTGACAAGGAGGAAAAATTAAACGTTGGATTTAGCAATATAGAGGTCATTGCTGATATATGCACTTTCAGTGGAGTGGTAAAGGTACAGAAAAGAAAAAAAGTTCTGATATATGCAACAACATGAATGAAACTTGAAAACGTTATGCTAAGTTAAAGAAGTCGAACACCAAAGTCATCCATATATTGTATGATTCCATTTATATGAAATGTCCAGAAGAGGCAAATCTATAGAGATGAAAAGGAGATCAGTCATTGCCAGAGTCTGAGGAGGAGCAGAGAATGGGGAATGACTTATAATGGGTATGGGTTTAATTTTGGGGTGATGAAAATGTTTTGGAATTAGTGGTGATAATTGAACAATATTGTGAATGTATTAAAGTCACTGAATTGTACACTTTAAAATGGTTAAAATGGTGAATTTTATGTGATGTGAATTTTACCTCATTAAAAAAAATCAAAATACCTCACTAGAACAACGATGTGGGGAGAAGAATTGGTGTTGAAGTCAGTGTAAATAGGTAGAACTTAGCGAAGTTAGTTGGAGGGGGCTGGAGGGTCAGAGGGTTTTCTTAAGACAGGTGAAATTTTGGCCCCATTGTGTACTGAAGTGAAAGAAAACCTGTTGACGTAAAAGAGGGGAGGAAATTGCTGGAACGATTCCTACAACAGGGAAGAGGAGATGATTTTCTGTAGAAACATGGGTAGGGAGATGGGTGGTGGGACTTGTGAAATTTTCTGCTGTTTCCTCTCATTTTCCCAGTGAAATGTGAAGCAACATGATTATCTGAGAATGATGATGGGGAAGGGGGAATTGGAAGTTGAAGGAGGGGGTAAAGGGTTTTGAATAGCTATCTAGGAATGGAGGAAAAAGAAAGAAAGGAAAATGTGGTGGGATGGCCACAATGCAATGGAGTGAGTAGTCACAGGTATGAAACCATTTCGGTCAGCATGGTGGTGGGCTCTCTGTCACTCACCTTCAGCCACACAGATGCAGGCTGGAGGAGGTGGTGAATTTCCTGGAGGTCCTGGTTCTTGTCAGGATTGCAGCTCAGGTATTTCAGGAGGGGAGAGTGAGAATTGTCTGGAAGTGGCAACAGGACAGGAAGGATACCTACTCCAGTTTCCAGCCCTGTGTTGGGAGGGCAATAGAGGGAGAAACAGACACAATGGGAGAATATTGCGGGGACAGTAGTTCCAGTAGATCAGCTTCCAGTTAAAGAGGACAGCCTATGTTATAGATGACACATGTTCGATTATGCTCCTAATGATAGGCTTTTTGTTTCCACATTAGGCCATGTTACTTCCATGGAAACATGGAAGATTTGGTGTGGGGGCTTGGTAGTCACCACAGAGATCTGGTTAAAATCCAGAAGCACTGGAATAGTTGTATTGTTCTCTCTGTTTCTGTCTCTCTCTGTGTGTAATGGGGTTGCCTGAGGGGAGATGCTGCCACAGAGAGGCGTTGGGTGGAGAGTGCTTTCTAGAACAAATGCTAACGTCTTAAGAAATACATGTGTCTTTCCAGATGCACCTACATCTCACTTCTTGCCAATCTTTAAATTTAACAGATGAAATTTTACCATGTCCAGAAACATTGAATACGGAGCAGGAATCGTGCCATCTAGATACAAGTCTCTGCAGTTCTAATTCTACAGATGAAGGATTGAGGTGTAAGTGTTGAATTGAGATGCCCACTGTGATGTTATGTAGCCATCTGTGAGACTGGGACCACTGGTAGTAATTCAGACCACTACTACGGATACTCATTTGCCAAACTTTGTTGCTATTTATGTCCTAAGTTTAGCTGAAGTGTTATTGGTAGTCTGTGGTTTATTCAAAGCATGAAAGATACTAAATATGTCAACTTAAGGTGATGTTGTTCTGTAAAATAGTTCTATTAAAGACCATCTTTGAATTATATCCAGTGTTTCTTCTTTAAAATTTCAATGTGATTATGACTAGTAAATGATTTAAACTAACTTAGTTCCATAACATAGGTCAGGTCAGATAGTATGTATGCCATTTAAAAAATTGTAACTGGAGCAGTGGTACAAGAAGAAGTGAAAACATCTTTTCACTTTTGAATGGCAATAGTTTTCCGTTAGGAGGATGCCCATCTGAATCAAGGATGAGCTTTTGAAAAACAGTTATGCTGGTATACTCCAAGGCTTGTTGAACCAAAACTTCTAAGTATGAATTAGTGTGTGTGTGTGTGTGTGTGTGTGTTAAGCCTGATTACAACACCTATGGCTAAGCAGCCATTCTAGTAGACTATGATGATCCATCATTATCTTTTCTGCCTCTCTGTAGTGTATCAAGTCTGTGGATTTGAATTTGACATGTGTGACTGGGTGTCAGAAACATCTGCTGGGCAAATTTCTTGGATGCGCACAAAAGCAAGAGAAGTTCCCGCGTTACAATCTATACTCCAGCAGAATCAAAGTAGTGATGAAGGTAGGAAGTAAAAAAATAATAATATTCTTTATATATTATTTTCAGAATTGTGATTTATTGTAAGTGGTATGAAGACATTTCATCAGGGGTCTTGATTAAGATACTGCATATATTTTATTGAAACTATATTTGCCATAGATAGTGAAAGTAAAGAATCTTATTACCAACAGTGTAAAGGAAGACTTATACTAGGTTAACTATTTTCATTTTGTGAATTTTATTATTTTCTTATCATCAGGAGATAATAGATTTTGTGGGAACCAAAAGGAAAAGTATTAAAAGGCTTCTATCAAAATGTACTAGCTCTCCCTTTCACTGGTGTCAATGAGTTTCTTTCTCTTAGTCTAACATTAAATTTGTGATTTGTTTATTTTTCTTTCCACTGCTTTTCTTTCTTTCTTTCTTTTTTCTTTTTTTGAGGGGGCATATTCTTAGTCTTTTCTTAAATTAGTAATTTAAAATTTTATTACAGCAGAAAATAATAGCTATTTTTTTCTGCTTCCATGTAGATTTTACTTTCTCCATAGTTTTGCCTTTTCCAGAATGTCATATAGTTGGAATTATACAATAGGTAGCCTTTTTAGATTGACTTCCTTCATTTAGTAATATGCATTTAGGGTTACTCTATGTTTTTTCATGGCTTGATAGCTTATTTCTTTTAATAGTAAATCATATTCCATTGTCTGGATGTACCAGAGCTTATTCACCTACTGAAGGACATATTGGTTGCTTCCAAGTGTTTGGCAATTATGAATACAGCTGCTATAAACATCCATGTGAAGGTTTTTGTGTGGATCTAAGTTTTCAACTCTTTTGGGTAAATGCTAAGGACCATGATTGCCGGATCACGTAGTAAGAATATGTTTAGTTTTGTAAGAAACTGCCAAGCTGTCTTCCAAAGTGAAGGTAACCATTTTTCATTCCCATCAGCAATGAATGAGAGATCTTGTTGCTTTACATCCTCTCCAGCATTTGGCATTGTCTGTGTCCTGGATTCTGGCCATGCTAATAGGTGTGTAGTGGTATCTCTTTGTTTTGGTTTGCATTTGCCTAATGCCTTATGATATGGAGCACCATTTCATATGCTTATTTGCCATCCATATATCTTCTTTGGTGAAGTAAGTTTGTTAAGGTCTTTGGTTTTTGGTCTTTTATCTTATTCATTTTCTTTCTTTTTTTAAAGATTTTATTTATTTATTTGAGGGAGAGAGAGAGAGCACAAGCCCAGGGGAGGGGCAGAGGCAGAGGGAGAAGCAGACTTCCCTGCTAAACCGGGAGCCCAACAAAGGGCTTGATGCCAGGACCCTGGGATCATGACCAGAGCTGAATGCAGATGCTTAATCAATTGAGCCACCCAGGCATCCCTATCATTTTCTTTATTCACCACTGTTTCTTTTATTTCATGTCCTCGATTTCTTTTCCTTCTTGAAGAGGTTCACTGACTAACTAATTGTTCTTTTATTTAGAAAAGATCTGTGGTGATGGGCTTGCTTAATATTTATGTTATAAACTTAAAATATTTTTAATGGCCTCACTCCTAAATAATAATCAATCAGGTCAGACAGTTTTCGAAAGAAAGTCTGTTTATTTTATTTCTAAGTACATGGTGATGGTTCTTGATTTCCTGATATTTACTGTAGTCATTTAGAAGTCTGAGCCCATCTAATTTTCAGTGTTATGCAGATTTTTTAAAAAATATTTATCTCTAATGTTTGAAAATGTCACTATGATGAGTACAGATCGTGAATATGTTTTTATTTAGATTTTTCAGTGCTCAGAATGCATGTATTTCATCACTTGTGGAAATAGTATGTTATTCTTTTCTAGTAATTCTCTTTTAGCCCCTCTGTTCTGGTCTTCTTGAGTTCCTACTAAATATATGTTCTGGGGGTCTGTGTGTTAGCGTTTTCTATTCGCTGCCCTTGTTCTTTGTTCTTATTTTTGTCTTCCACTTCTGTTATGCCTTTGTAGTTTTAAATGAGGATTTTATATGCTTCTTTTTTGTTTCCTTTTTTAGTATTTCAATTATACTTCCTTTATTACCCATTTTTTAGTGCTTGTTCTGAGCTCGTGAACTTCATTTACAACTAATCTAACTCCACTTTCAAATAGCTTATATTTCTTCATGCAATGCAAGTATCTTATAGTAACAAAATATTCCTAATTCCTGCCTCCTGTCCCTTGCATCATTGTTGTCATTCATTTCACTTATATGCAAACTATAATCATCAAATACCTTCTGGCTGTTACTATTTTGAACAAATTGTTCTCTTTTAGATCAATTAAGAAAATTGTAATTAAAAGATTTTGCCAAAACTTGGAAGCTACTGATGTGTTTTATTTATTGCTTTCCTAATACTGTTCCTTCCTTTATTTAGATCTGAGTTTCTGACGGGTATCATTTTCCTTCTCTTTGAAGAATTTCAAAGCCATTGTTTCCTTATTTTCTGTTTAGATAATCTGTCCATTGATGTAAGTGGGGTGTTAAAGTTCCCTATTATTATTTTATTATTATCAATTAGTTCATGTTTGTTATTGTTTTATATATTTGGGTGCTCCCATATTGGGTGCATAAATATTAACAATTGTTACATCTTCTTGTTGGATTGTCCCCTTTATTATGATATGGTGCCCTTCTTCATCTTTTGCTATAGTGTTTGGTTTAAAATCCAGTTTGTCTGGGGGCCTGGCTCAGTCAGTTGAGTATCTTATTCTTAGTTTTGGCTCAGGTCATGATCTCAGGGTCATGAGATCGAGCCCCATGTCAGGCTCCACAGTTAGTGCAGAGTCTGCTTGAGATTCTCTCCCTCTCGCACTGCCCCTCCTCCTGCTTGCATGCTCTCCCCCCCTCTCTAAAATAAATAAGTAAATCTTTAAAAAAATAAAATCGAGTTTGTCTAATATATGCATCGCTACTCCTGCTTTCTTCTGGCATCCATTTTCATGGTAAATGTTTCTCCATCCCCTCACTTTCAATCTATAGGAGTTTTTAGGTTTAAAGAACCTAAACCTAATAGATAGGTCTTATTTTTTATCCTTTCTGACACTCTATGTCTTCTTAATGGAGTATTTAGTCCATTTACATTCAAAGTAATTATTGATAGATATATATTTATTGACATTTCATTACTGTTTTATTCTTGCTTCTGGAGATGTTCTCTGATCCTTTCTTGTTTTTGTCAATTTTGGTCTCTCTTTTGTATGCAAAGAGTCCCCTTTAAAGTTTCTTGCAGGGTAGTTTTAGTGTCACAAACTCCTATAGTTTTTGTTTGTCGGGGAAACTCTTCATCTCTCTATTCTAAATGAGAGTCTTGCTAGATAGAGTATTCTTGGCTGCAGATTTTTCCCAGTCAGCACTTTGAATATATCATGCCACTCTCTTCTGGCTTGCAGAGATTCTGTTGAGAAATTTCTAGAAATCTCTAGCTAGCCTTATGGGTTTTCCCTTGTAAGTTAAGGACTTCTTTTAAGATTTTTTTCTTTATCACTATATTTTGCAAATTTGATTACAATATGTGTTGGCCTATTTTGTTGATTTTGATGGGAGTTCTCAGTGCCTCCTGGATCTGGATATCTGTTTCATTCCCCAGATTAGGGAAGTTTTTTGCTATTATTTCTTGAAATATATTTCTGCCCCCCCTTTTCTCTCCTCTTCTTCCAAGACTCCCATAATCTGAATATTATGTATGATGGAGTCATTGAGTTCCCGAAGTCTATTTTGTTGCATAATTCTTCCTCTCTTTTGTTCAGCTTCATTATATTCCATTATTTTGTCTTCTACATTACTAATTCGTTTCTCTGCTTCTTCTAGCCTGCTGTTCATTGCATCAAGTCTGTTTCCAATCTAATTTATTGCACTCTTCATCTCTGATTCTTTTTTTAACCCTTTTATCTCTGTGTTAAGGGTCTCACTAATGTCTTTTATTCTTTTCTCGAGCATGATGAGTATCCTTATGATTGTTGTTTTAAATTCTCCATCAGGGGTGTTACTTATATCTGTTTCACTTATATCTCTGGCTGTGGCCTTATCTTGTTCTTTCACTTGGGATTCCTCCATCTTGGCCTTTTGTCTAAGTCTCTGGCTTCTTCTTTGTGTTAGAAAAGCCTCTTATGACTCCTCCTGAATATAATGGCCATGAAGAAGAGGTCATGTAGTGTCAAGGTCCTGGCACTTCAGGGAGCATCTCTGGAATGCGCTGAATGCACTCTGCTATTGTGTTCTTGCTGCTCTATCCTTCAGGCCAGTCATCAGCAGAGGCTCTCGTCTGCTGTGGGCAGTGTTTGGTTCCTGGCCTGAATGTGACAAGTTTTAACTAGGAGTGGTCTGGTCTGCTTGTGAAATGAGACCTGAAACCACTTCCACCAGAACTGAAGCCCTGCAGAACTCTTCTGGCCAAAAGACATGATGTGGGCAGGGGTTTGTGCTGGTCTTCTGGGGAAGGGGCTGCTGTGTTACAACTGAGGCATGCTTGACTGAGAAGAGCAGTTCTGTCAGAGTGCAGGGGTGTGGAGCTTAGTGTAAGCAAGTTAGGTAACTAGTGTTGGTGCCAAGCTGCTTCCCCTTGGGTGGCTCTGTGTTTATGCTGGGAGATGGGGGAGGGAAGTGGTGTCAGCCAACTCCACTGTTCCTGGAGAGACATCTCAGTGAAATCTGCCTTTCATGGATGTGTTCTGAGAAGAGCGAATAATCTCCCCGCTGTATTCCCTATGCGTTCTTTAGATCAATGTTTCGGCACTGTCTGCCGTCAGGTTGTTTGCCAGCCTTCTCTCTAGAAGTAGCTCAGTGCTCTCTGGGCTCTATCCCAGCCAAGCTCACTGACCTTTAAAACTTCAGACTTTAAGCCCTCCTAGTTGCAAGAACTCACAAAATTCAGTCCCTCTTTTTTTCCAAGCCAATGACTTTGGGGAAACTTTCTCTTTGTGCATTTCCCTGTGTACTCTTCTATCTCTTACCATTCTTGGTGACCATGGCTCCTTCCCCTCTGCAGCACCCACCAACC